AGCGCTGAGAGCAACTACCAAATATGGTACAAAAGAGAGTTAGTGAGTCGAAAAAAAGGAAATCCCAAAATATTGCCTGAAAGGGTAGAGGAATTCGTAAAAGTTTGAACTGATGAAGTCAATAATATGAATAATATAAGAGAAAAAAGAAAAACACCTCAGCAATTTAAAGTTATCAAGAAATGTATGGAACAAGCAGCAAAGTATTAAGTGCAAGAGAAGAGCGTTGAATATCCAAAGGTAAAGAAATCAAAACCCTTTAGTAAAACAAAAGAATTTGGTTGATAGAGTAGATGGTAAGTAAGATACGCTCTTGGAACACAACTCAGATAAAAAAGGATGGACGAGAATCGGAATAGCTCTAATTTCATCCTTTGGGCACTGCTCATGTACCTCTTATACCAACTGGACCGAAAATCGTTTGGGCTCGAAATGAGCCCCAGCATTTACAAAGCCCTGCAATTCGGGAGGATGTACGTGTTTTACAGAACTAGTACCGTAGCCAACACATAGTCTTAAAGACGATAAACCTTCCCTTCCAGTTCGAGTAGGGCTTGATAGAACGCTTGCCGTGTGGTGGTGTGTGGGCCAGTACCCTTTGAATGGTCCCTCAGTCGAGTCCTGGCTCGAAATCTGCACCATCCAAGTGAACCTTCCTATCCTCTATAGTATATAAATTTCTAACGGACGCGTGTGGGGAGACGAAATACTACTTGTACTTATATATCGGCCGAACCCATATATTGCGAGACCCCACTCGTATTCAAGCCAGTTAGGGCTGTGTCCTTAGCAGCCCCATAAGGTCGTGGATAAAAGCTGAGTAACCTTGCCTCGGAACATTGGATCGACTGAAGCGAAGTAGAGAACGGCAAAGCAGCTTTGAAAAGCCAGCACTGATCCTGTCGTTTGCTTCCTGCATCACATCCTTGAACAGAGGCGAAAGTCAATTGCAAAAAAGAAATTTGCATTTTTGTGACTGCAAAAGTAAAGGGCCGACCCCCTTGAGTTCCATTGTCTTGCCAGGTGACTTCTGTACCCCTTTACTTTTACTTCTGAGTCATCACCCTTTATGCAATAAAATGGGAAGTGAAATGTGTCTTTGAATGTTTCTCATAGTCGTTCTGATTCAAGTATTTTATTGCCTCACCAGGCTTTCTCACCTTGAATATTCATGGTTATAGCCGCCAGGTGGCCTCGAAACGCTCACAGGACCACAAAATGGTCGTTTCTCCCAAAGGTCCGGGGATTTCTTATAGTTCCATATGGATATTTTATTTTTTTTACTAGAGCTCGATTCAAGTGAAGTGATGACGAGTTCACATTGTCATCGCAATTGAGACATTCCACTGTCTTCGGCCCTTTTTTTTTTATCCTTCAATGCCATTCCATTCCACCAAATAAATCCGGATAATTACTATCAAGCGCGCAGCTTCGTCCCCGATGAATAAATGAAGCGAAACGACATCAATTTTTCAACAACTACATATCAAATCGTTTTGCGGGATCCATCCATGATACGCATATTTAAGAAGCTTTCTGAGTGTTTCCCCCGAACAAAACACGCATTCATTTCAGCCCCATACTCTTCTTGTGAACGAACAATTTTCCGTGTTCAGACTCGACTAACTTACACCGATGGTGGCGATTGACCATGAAAAAGGGCATACAACCAGAAGTTCGAGTCGATGACACCATCGAAAAGAGGCACAGGGGGCCATCGATGTGCCGCCATCGTCATCTAGAGCATCCAGTCAAGTCGAAAAGACGAGCCACATGCGACTTTTCCGAGACATGACGAATGACTTTAGCAGTGGCGGCATCGAAGAAATATGGACGACGGATCGACTCTCTGACATCCACCACAGCTTTGTCTACATCCCGCAAATGACCTAAGAGAGTCTCCATGCACAAATCTCGTTGAGAAAACTTCCCGGAGAACACGACTAGGCTCATCTGTCAAACCTATCATATCGGAATAGACTGGGAAATTCACAAAAGGAAACATTGAAGGGCTGTAAACTTCAAATATTTCCATAATTCAGGGATAACCCGAGAACCTTGAGTATTACCGCCAAATCGAGTAGAGTGGCCCGCAGGGTTCCCAGGCTATAATCGCTAGAAACCGCTACCCTACAAAGGAATGCCCATGAGGGTATCTGTAGAAGATTCTTGATGCTCCGAGCGATCGGTCGAGGCCTTCAATGCAGCTACTTCTTCAAGTAGAAAGAAATCAGCCTACAATTGGATTGCCGTCCTTGGTAATAGACTAAGTCTAAGGTTAATCGGAGAGGGGGAGAAACGATGACGGACTGGAGGCCTCCTTACTTCAGGTATATGGAAAGATTCGTTGGCACTTCTTTAGTGGGACTCCCATTACTGGTGCCGAACCTTGGGAATGCGATGTTGTGCTGCCTCAGAACACTTCTAGGTGGGATGCACGATTACTGTAGATTACTGTAACCAACTGGTCCTCCTTTATGTAGCGTTTCATGAATGACTAGCTCCAGAGACCTATAGCTACCGTAACGTACCAAGAGCGAAGCTGCCTGCTGCTAACAATTTCTCGACTTAATTCCGATTTTTTTTGTCTTTCAGAGATGCTAGAGCATCCGCCACTTGCTACCGTACTCTAAGTGCATCGAGGCTACTCGATACTACCAGTCGCCCTGAGGATGGAAACACTAGACTCAAGAAAGATCGCCCACATGCATTCCATTTTACAGGACTACTTCGCATCCAAGTGCTAATAAATCCCGCTGAAAAAGTTTGTACGGCGTATTCTGTGGGAATGTGAAGGACCATTCCACTCCCATCGAGGTGACTTTACTAGTTGGGCTCCCATGCTGTATCCCCTCTTTTACAGAAACCTCTTCTACAGAGTGAACGCGCTTCGGTAAGGAAGCAACATTTTGCCTTTGTGAGTGTGGTGTTTATATCTGGAAGCGGACCCGTCAAAGCCCTGGGGTTTATTTTAATAAATGGTACACTAGAGCCATGTTCCAATATGCTGTTAGAAGTAACTTATTGTTAGCCATGAGTAATGAGTTATTCCTCGTTTGCATGGTCCACCTAAGGAGGCATTTGCCGTAATGTTACTTGCGTTTGCCCTTAGGGACTACTATATTGTAGCTCAATTCCGAATGGATACCAAAGAAAGCTAAAAACATTACTCGTACCAGGAACGTAGGTATATGAGTAATCCTGGAGCCTTTCACCAGTTACGGATGTCAGTAATGCCCTACTTTATGAGGCCGGAGCTGTACTAGTACGTGACTTGGTTTCGGAAGAGGTGAGCTAAGTACCACCAAACAACTATTCCTCCGTAGAATTGATGACGATGTAAGTCATTTTCTCGTCCGACCATTTTCAAAGCAGGGCTGAGTGCTGATTTTGAAGATGGAAAGCAACCTGAGTAACCAGTCACGGCTACTGAGTAGTATAATGTGACTGAAATACTTAGGTGAGAGAATTCTTCAACGATATGAATGGCCACATGAATTGGACCTATTGGAACACCCAGAGGACAATACAGCGGGAGATGTCGAATGCGAAACGTATAAATCAGCCCATCAAAGCCGCTTCCATACATTCCGTGTGTCGCGCTTGGAGATTGCATTTTTCCGAAAATCCCACTCCTACGGGTCAAGAAGCTCCGACCAGCTTCTTTTAGAAATCGATTTAAATATTCAATCAATGGGAAACTGCCATCATATGATGATGAATCTTCAAAATTCGATGGCTTTAGTACATAAAATTTACAGTAGCGAATCGCCACCATTGGGGGACATGAGAAATTACGCTTTCACTCGATTTATAACAACCTGCTCACCTCTCTTCACCTCACTAAACCCGCCCAATTCAGAAAACACGCCCTTCACTTGGTGCAAACGGATTCTTCGAGCATGATCGAGAGAATAATGATACAGGTTTTCTTTATCAGGAAAACTAATTTAACAGCGAACAGCGGCATATTACGAAAACTTTACAAGCCGGTTTGAGCAAACAGAAAACTCGTCCACCAGACAGTATCCCGAACATTGTCTCTGACTGCTGACAGAGTAGCACTGATGTGTAACCAGGCTCAGCGATACTTTTATTGTAGACCGATCTGTGACTAAGAATCAGAACTCTAATTTGCGTCCAGTTCAATGTGTCGTGACACAGCGCTTCCCCACCGTGGATGGCTCTGAAGAAGATGACTATCCTCCATTACTCCTGCTCTTTCAGCTCTCGAAATTTTCAGGGTATAAACGGCAGAGCAGTGAAGCGAAATACAAAGTAAACAAGTTGCTAAAAAAGATTTCAGCCCAACTCCGAAGCAGTTTTGTAATAAGGTCAGTCCCTGCGGTTTTAGTATCTTTAAGTACAGGTGCCCTCGAAAAGGAATGTTCATACTATGTACATAACCACATTATTCGAGAGAGACTTGGTGAAAGAAGACACCTAAAAAATCCGCAGAGCTGACAGCAGCTGTGCTTATTGTGAAAAACGGATATCTGTTGACACCTGGATGATCTGCTGCGCGCCGAAAAATGGCACTTTTTGCGCCAAATGTCACCACCGCAAGCGTCGGGCACAAAGGGTGCCGTAGTAGTTTATTATAAACAAAAACAACAACAACTTACCAAGAATTGAACTTTGAGCACGAGGTGTCGTACCGTACTTGAACACACTGGCAAAGCATCCACGTATAATATTGTTACCGATATGTTGCCCTATAACAACACGGAACATCAGGTAAACTTCAAAGGTATTACTGCATAAGCAGATTACTGTTAAACTTCAAAGAGGTTCATTTTTGTTTTACTTTTACGCTTTGTTTTAAAATGTGAACATCCATAGTCCAAAACCTTTGGCAATCCCGGAAAAAATTGTGTCAGCAGGACGAGAAGCGTTTCGCCAAACAGCGAGTCAATCAAATAATGGATGGCCGCCTATTACGAGCAAACCTCACTGGCTTTTTCTTCCATCTACATACATAGAATAAACCCCCATATGCCCAAAAGCATGCCCAGTATCATTTTTTGGTAAAGAATGAGCACTTTGGAAGGCGTGTTTCGATTTCAGATAGAGTTTGGACCCAGGAGTAGCATAGCGACTTCGAAGCGCCATGGAGATTTTAGGGGGATTCGACCGGCCTAGGTCAGTTAGGCGGCTTTATTTTCCGAGATTGGCTAGTTTGCATGTTGTTTGGTTATGGAGATGAGTACCTGACTCGATTATTGGGAGCCTACTTTTATCCGCTCCCTCAGATTCCTCTTCAGGCGGACTACGCTTTCAGATGTCTCCGAAAGCCCGTAAAAAGGTCGAAAGCATGGCATATTCTGGTGGAATTGAAGGAGGCCTTTTTTAAGGCTTTCAGAGCTTTATTCTAATCAACATAAAGCTGCAAGAAAATTTGCATTAGTTAGTCAAAGAAAGGGTAACTTTTAGTGCTACATTACTCTAACGGGCAACCCCCATTAACACACGGGATTACGATGGGTTTCGGCATTCCCGTATATAGCCCTGGAACACCTGCATCCGGCTGAAATACATTAATTGCTGTCGCCCATTTTTTTGCCTTCGAATCCGCTGTCGAAATGGTGGCGGCCGGCCATGCACTTGGAAATCATGAAATGAAGTGTGGTGAAAAACATTTTTGGCACTTTGCCTACTCCACTGAGTGCCTTCCGGTGCCTTCTTCCCAAGCATTATGCCCTAACAGACAAGTATACGGGAGGAAAAAGTCTCTGAAAAAGCCCAAGATGCAATCATACCCTTTCTGGAGGGGTGGCAGAGTGGCACCAGTCTTGTAAGGAGGTATTACCTAGTTATGAAGTTGACACCATGGCGTCGAATGGATGATGACCCGACCGATTAATGCGATCCAATTACTCGCTACACTGCCTTTCTTACACCCTCGGTGTGGATATCGATGAATCCCCAAAGTCAACAGTAATTTACTTATGCTCATTTGCCAGTAAACCCATGGCCCACACATCTGTCTGTCCCAGTATGAGCAGGTGGGCGGGCGGGAGGTACATCCCCCCTCTCCACCCATTTTTACTTACATATGGTGATTTTCACGGCTCGTTTATGTTTAGGTCCCTCATTTTAGGGATGAGAACATTTAAGATTGATGAGGAATCGTTGAGCGTATGTGAGAGCTTATGCTTGAAAAGAAGGCCCTTCCTCGAAGTGTGCTCTCTCACTGAGGGTCTGCGCATTCGAACATAAGTGGGCACTTCTTAAGCCGGTGAACAACCACCCCGATGAAAAGCTCGCTCAAACTCAAATCAGCCCCCCTCTTCGTCATCCTCTTCGTCTTCGTTCGACATCTTCACACTTCCTCACCTCGTATATACACACAAATCGGTCGGTCTTCCACTCTACGCCCACTACACTTGAGCACATACGGCCCGGCCCGTGCATATTATGGTCCCATATAAAAGTTTGTAGGCTACCAACTGCAACTAAATCTGGCAAATTCGACTCACAGAGAAAAAAGTTTTAAAAACACGGAGGGTTTATACTACTTTTCAATCTGGTAGGATGCCCATGATTGTTCGGAACTTTTCTCTGCTCCGCTCCAAATATTCAAGGTCCCTTTGGTAAATTTCGAGCTTGGNGCAATGTATAAAACCCATCTTTCACTGCATTCCAGTCGAGAAAGAAGAAGAATTATCTTCTGAATCTCTGGGCATACGCCCAGAACCGAGGGGCTTCACTGACACAACTGAATGCCTCTAGGGACATGCCTTTTTGAGGAGATATGCTTCTGTCACCCAACTTCAACTAGCTACCTTCCTATAGCGCTTTCAGTCGTCCCATTTCCGACGACTATGGTCGATGTCAAGAGGCCATGGATTCCGGGCGGGCGTGCGTGGGTATGCACAACAAGTAGACCAATCATAATAAAACGGACGAAATTGAAACCGGGAGATTTGAGTGGGGGCACATGAAGGGTACTCAACGAATAGGGTTAGCCATTATCGTCAAGGACATCCAGCTATACGGCTTTAGCGACATCTGAGTTGGTTATTTAAGTCCTCCACGCTATGTCCTAGTAGAACGTCATGTGGGGGTTCAGCCCTAGATTTGGAGTTTAATCTCATGGGAAGTGGATGTTGTCATATATAGGGGGCAAACTGATCATTTGGGGGGCGACACAACCTCGACACACAGCAAAATTAAGCGCGTCCAAATCAAATTGGATCCAAGCCCCCAACTATCGTGCTCAAGTAGTGCCATGGAACGGGGGATGATAGCTAACCAAATACTAAGGGGGAATGGTTTTCAAGGAAACTGGCACGAAATTTGATTAGACCGAAAACCCGGGCATTGCCATCGTTCCCGAACCAATTGAACCACAATCGAGGTTGATTTATCGGGGTCGGCAGCTTTTCTGATTGTAATAAGTAATCGATCAAACTGTCCGTAGAGCAAGGTGGCCCACGCGAACTTTTGGCGCACCCTGGATGATATCCTGGACCTCCCCCTACTATGCTCCCTCTCTCGACCCGATCCATACATGCTCAGATTTGACTGATGGGTGTGAACCAGGCGGGGACTCTAGTTGTTGGAGCTTTACTTGTTAGTTACTTTCCCAAACAAACAATCGTTTTTCCGAGTTTCAAGAAGATATATGCTAATTGTGGCGAACACGTAAAGAAGTCTGCATATTTCCGACTTCTCAAGTCATTTGTGCCTTGAGGGTGTTTCGCAGTCGGCGATTTAATCGTGGCCGGCCGGGCAAACTCTACTGCTTTCCATGCAGTAGAGTTCAAACTAGTCGATGTTGGAAGGGGGCTGCCCTCAGAAACAATATAAAAAATATAGGGCTTTTTTTTGCTCTGTTACGGCTTCACAATCTGAAAAACTCAATTGGGCCATACTTTGCCAGAAGGGCCAGATACTGCACCTTTCAATTTTTCTCCAAAATACGTCGAATTTTCCATGAAAAACAGCAATTTTTTTGGGGCCCGCCTTGAATTTTAGCGAGTAAAGTTACTTAGCAACTGCTAAAAGTTGTATGCAGTAGTGGTATCATCAAAACAGAACGGAAACGAACCTGCCAATATCCTCGGCTCAATTACCGTAACACACATCGAATTACTACATGGAGCCATTCCAATATTCACTTTAGCGGGAATTTTAAAGCAATGATCCGTAAAGTTCATGGGACGATAGTAGACCTGGAAAATTGGATAATATGATGAATGAGGCACTGAAACAAATTTTACAATTCAGTTGTACTCCTAAGTAACGGACATCCGTACTCTTTTACACGTTTACAAAAAACCTATACATACAAAGCCCTACTATCCCGTCTCAGAGCGCTTGTCGTTTTCACTGACGTAATATGTCCTGAGATTGATGTGCGTTCAACACCGAGTGATGACACAGAAGCCAATGATCAAAAATGACTAATCGATGAATAACTAATGGATGGAATAACTGGTAAAGTAATAAAAAGTTATGGATGATGTTATTTTTGAGGCAGGGCCAGGTCGTGGGGTCACCCCAGGCGAGATGATGAGGATATCAGGATCTGGAGATGGATAGGATACGGCACCCTGTTTTTCGACTTACTTGTATGGATTACGGAGTAGATCACTGTAAGTAGCAACCGGAACCTTACTCTGGGCCTACTTGAAAGTATAACTCGTAATAAAAGCAGATGGTAACCGTTTTGAAGCCAATTCTTTGTAAGTGTGGATGCAACTACCTACCAGATGGCTCCAATGTGAATGACACCGTAATGGCACCCCTGGTTATAACGTTCTTATTCAAAAAAAGTGCACAGCCACGCTTTTCGACATCTGAGGGGTCCGCCTTTGGTCCGTTGAGACCCTATCTTGTTTATTTTTCATTCACGAACTTTAACGAAGCCGAGTTTTTAGGGTTGCCGAGAATTGACCGCTTCAATTCTCAAGGGCAATGAGTACAACATGCTTAACTGGTTAGGCTAATCCCAGACACGACATCTCTTTCAAGAAGTACATCAAAATCCATAGTACTTGTAACAAAAACTTGCTTAAATCGAGCCGCTTCACTCCAGTCACAAGTAAGTACCCCCACCCCCCTCCCCCTTCCCTGACCCAGCACTATTGCAACTTTCTAGTGGAATTCTTAGAAGCAGCTCAGTCATACTGATGAAAAATCCATTCCAAGACGTTGTTTTACTGGTAAACAGCTAGTTATACTAGTAATCTAACGTTTCAGTATTTTTTCGAGCTCGAGGTCTTAGCTCTCTGGCTCATGACTGACTTTTACCCTGATGGTTGAATTTACAACTTAAATCAAAAAGTTGCCTAACCAAGTAATTTCTACGATGAGTAGGAAGTTGGAAGCACCCCATGACCAGAATGAAAATTCGATGGACGGAAAAATATGCCAAGCCACAAGTTCATTACTATAAAGCTGTTTTCATTACATAAAATGGGAGTAGTACTAGTAATTCCAGACCAGTCATGTGGCACATAGAATTACCCNTCCTAGATGCAGCTCTGTCATACTGATGAAAAATCTATCCCATGACGTTGTTTTACTGATGAACAGCTAGATTTGTACTAGTAATCTACTATTTCAGTATTTTTTTCGAGATCGAAGTCTTAGCTCTTCAGCTCATGACTGACTTTTTCCCTGATGGTTGAATTTACAACTTAAATCAGGAAGTTGCTTATCCAAGTGAATTCTACGAGGAGTAGAAAGTTGGAAGCATCCCATGACCAGAAGAGAAATGCGATGGATGAAAAAATGTGCCAAGTTACAAGTTCATTACTATAAAGCTGTTTTCATTACATAAAATGGGAGTAGTACTAGTAATTCCAGACCAGTCATGTGGCACATAGAATTACCCCACTAAATAAGGGCACTCATAATGTAGACACTGAATAATAACCGCTCATAAGAAAGCTATAACTAGGAAAACGATTTGAGTAACGGCTTACTGGTTTTTAATACTTTGATATCGATAGCTTCCATGTTCCTCGGTGAATAGGGAAATGGCTCTCAATTACTATTACTTTTATGACCTTCTCAAGCGCTAGCCAGTGTACTTTTGACGAATGGACGAGTTTCTACCTTTTCTTAGCAAGCAGGCCGAAAAGTCTGAAATTCCGAATATTTTTGGGTTTTTTCCCAGATTATTCTTCTTGGGTACTACCTCTGACGACGTCCCACAGCTGTCAAGTCGGGAGGGGGAAGGAACTACCAATGGTAACCCGTAAGTGGCTATGGTAGTGTAGGTAAGCGTTCTGCTCTTGGTAACTTTCTGGGCACACGTCTGGGTTATAGGGCCCACCGTAACCTCGTGGGGGCCAACCAGGGTCACAAAGTTCATGACCTCAGAAAGTAGCTCGATACGACGATGCCAAAATCAGCACTGCGCTGGAAGTGATATATCGCACTGGGGCTCTCTNAGGAATAGACGGCCTTGCCGCGCACAATAACTATATCATCTTTATTGACAAATTCGGGCAAGTTTAGCCCCTACTAGAGATGCAAACAGATAAACGAATCAAATATTTAAATTATTCAATAATTTCGGTGAAAAATCTGATCTCGTACGAAAATTTATTGGATACGTGCCAAACATGCGGAGGAAAATGCTTTTTTTCTCATCAAGTACTCAGTTCATTAGCCACTGATTCATCAGAAACTAGTGATATTCAGCAAAAAAGAAGTAAAAAGTAAAATCAACGGGTCTACATTTGACAGCTACGTCAAACAAACACTTTTACTAATGTGGAATTAAAAAACCCTATGTAAAATCAATAGTTTACAAATAATGCTTACTAAATGGAATGGACGCGTTGAAAAACGGATTTACAGTATTCTCAGAACAGAGCAGTTGTCCGAATAGAAAAAGTAGCCGAAACGAATGTGTGCACGGCACGGCTCCTCTGAGACCACAAGACCCTTTTTATGGCATCGAATGAGCCCCAAATATTGTGCTACATAATCGTTCATAGATTTGCTCGACTCAAATCTGGCTAATATCCACTCCGTAATTTGTGAATGTAAATAGTTGTTCTAAATGATAATTGGTGATACTTAATGGTAATCTATAATAACCATTATCGAATAGGTAACATAGCGAGTAAAGCCAGAAAATGGATCTATTCCGAGTGTTCTGAGTTGATATCACAATTACCAGTAGGGCCCTACAAATGATAGATCTAGTAATACATCAGAAACTTTCCTGGCTTCTATACCCATCAGAAAATGGAAAGATGAAATATTATATCTTGAATACGCTTTCTTTTGACATTTCCGTAATTTGAATGGCCAGCGATAAAATATTTGTGGTGGGGCGAATGATTCGAGCTTATAGTAAACAAAAGTAAAGCTGGTCGAAAAAGTTTTAAACAAGTTTTTAATTACTGTTTAGTAGAGGTTATGCGATGTGGTTTTCAGTGATAAGCACACTCACGCATATGCTTATCACACGTGTGCACAGGGCCGTTTGTTACAACACTTACAAAATGAAATTCAATCCGAAACGACACCCGTCGGTCGGTCGCTTCAACGAACGAAACGAGGAGCTGTTTCACAGCAAGGAGGAGGATATCATCGTAACATCGAGAAGGGGAGTCAATGTATGGAATAATAGAGGGGGGGGGGGGGACATAGAGAGGGGAGAAATGATGATGCGCTATATCCATGGTGCCATCAACAGATCAGATAACAGCTTAACGACGTCGGACGAAAATGTGCAGATGGGGAGAATGAAGAAAAGTGGAAGAGAAAAAACCCCCGGAGGAGGAGGGAAAGCCACAGAACCACACATCAATAGTTGAATGGGAAAGTATCAATAAAAGATGGCAAAAGGCAAAAGCCCCCAGTTGTGGTGACCTCTCAAAGATCGCGCATCAGCATGATAATTTAATATAAAACTGCGTTTGCTACGTTCGGAGACGGACGGGACTTGGCCCAGCACCACCACAACTGGCAACAATGATGAGATTCGAAACGGGAAAAAAATTTCGGCAAATCATCTAACCTCATCCAAATAAGGCCAGTGTAATAGAAAATCTTCAGACATACAGCTGTAACAGTACTTGGTCGTCGAGCTGAAAAAGCGATGAACAATTTTGGTACAGGTAGAGGGTAAGGAGCTGCATCGGAAGTATAGAGGACCGGCACTTGGGCTGCCAGAGGAGGGCTGAGTTACAACAAAAGTAACCCACCTAAAGTCCATATAATCAACGGCAGTGACTGGTCGTGATAGAATATGGTAAAGGGCTAAAACGACGACAAGGTGTGTTTGTCGAATAAATGATTTGGGCTGGAGATGTTGCATTAAGGACACACCAGGCGTGTGAACGCTGCTGGTGGCCGTTGGCCTTGAAAGACCATACAGCGTTGACGGCACGATGCAGTGTGATCTACCACCTGTAGGCGACGGCGACGTAGACGACTGTGGAGATGATGAGGATGAAGTAGATGACAATAACGATGATGTTGATGTTGACGATGACGATGAGGTAGGTCGCCGATGGTCGCAGCACAACGAGGACACGGGTACACTAGCGAGGCGGGTCGCCGTCGGCACCGCCCGCCTGCCACGCCCCAATCAAATCGGAATCCCGGGGATAGGAGAGATGGAGACGAGTCCATAATTTGGCCCATAACAATGTGACCAACATAGACGATCTGCATCATTGCCCTCTTCCGTTTTTGATTCGGCATCGCCTAATGTTTCGGACATCCCTGTTTGTGTCGTCCCACTAGGAACAAAGCCCATGCCAACTCGACAGACTCGTTTCCAATTCCCTATGAGTCAGTTGCCAGAGAAACTAGAGAACGCCCAGGTTTCTTGAGATATGGAGAAACCTCATTTGTGTAACATACCATGCACTCATGCAAAGAACCAGGGGAACACAAAGTTCAATTGCGAGGGCTGATGTTACTTGTATGTACATACTTCAGTCAAGGTCCTTAGAGCTGATCAGATGACGCAGAACTGGTGACGAATAGGTTATTGTCAATGAAGCCAAAGCCGTTGCCAGAAATACTTTTGTAAAAAGTTATAATGGACCTTTATATAGCCCTCCTTGTTGAGTTAGAAAGCCCTATTCTGACAATGATTACGAGGTTTACTCCACTTTCAAGTAAGAGTAACCCACCTCTCTAATCAGCCCCAAGTGACAGTATCGAACTGGGTGGGTGAAAAAGCCTTACCCTTAGGGTATAGCAAGTAGACAAGTGTAGGCGTCCGTATATGGAAGGCAGGACACGGTTTTTTGTCGAAGGCGTCTTACCAACTCGTAACTCCAAACATCATTAACTGGGCGTGAAGAAGCTGATGATTATTCATGAACTTGCTAGATTTTGCGGAAAATAGTGGTTTGAATTGGAATCAAACTTTATTTTACACCATTGAACCCACTTACCTACCCTACTGCCGTTTTTTCGAGGTTCATGCTTAGAATCCAGAGCATTCTCGGCTGCTGTCCGTCTTGCTGATCCTACTGTGGCGCCGATCAAGCAGCCTGAAAAGTAGCCGATCCAGCCTGTGTACGAGCAGAAAAAAGAAAAAATAAAGGAAGTGAAGTAAAAAGTAAATAGAAAAAACAACAAAAATAACCAGTAATTATAAAGATGCTCATAAAAACAGCCGATGTAAAAGTAGTTATTAAAACAGCATTGAAAAACAGAACTAACAAAATTAGATGATAAGAGAAAGTTTGAGAAAATTCACTGAAGGTAAGCCGGATTTGACTTGATACCAGTAAATCGTCCACCAAAGGAGTTAATTGCTTCTGTTGTCTTGATGATCAAAAGAGAATTGGAACTACCAGTAAGTTAGAGAAAAGGGCAACAGCCGAAAAAAAAAGCAGAAATTATCCTTCAGCACAGATTCAATCAGGTCACGAAACTCCAATTTCAATAAAAAACGGTTGCTTAGATTTGTTTTGAGGGAAACTTTCATTATAGCTAAATAAAAAGTACCGACTCCAACATAAACGAGTTTTCCTTTCTGCAAATTCCTTTTAGAGTCAGAGATTAAAAAAAACCGAGCCTATGTATATGAGTTGACAGAAGAAATAAAGGAAATAACCGGATTTTAACAAAATAGGAAATATGACAAGTAAAGTAACAAATGAGGCCCTTCAGCGGGGCAGTTTCGTTGGTCCATTCTTGTTCATTACCTTCTGGGCCAAAAAGCCAAAGCGATTCCAATCAGTCTAAGGGTGCTCCAGTTGGCCTCAACGTAATTCAATCAACAGGTAATTGGAACATTCTTTATTGCCATTGCCACGTTCCATCTCCGCTTATGGATTTACTAGACAGAATCGCTTTCTACCTGTTACTGGTATGAATAAAACTCTCTGTGACAAAATCATATTACAAAGTTTGCTCCCGCAAAAAACTAATGTAATTTGAGAACAAGTAAAAATTTCATAGAAAAAAGTAAACGGAAGTAAGTAAAAACAAAGAGGGTACACCAACTAACAAATAGTAAAGAATAACAAACAGAGAATAACAAAAGAGCAGCGATGAAAAAAGTAAGTGAGGAGTTGTAGCTAGTGTTTTGACCGTTCTGTGAGTAAGGAAGACAAGAACACTGTAACCCATTGATATAAATTTTTTTAGGAACTACCGAAAAACTGTCGTCAGCTCACCTGTGACATCCATTCGAATTACTGGTAAATAATCTGAGTCATTTGATTCCTTCGTCACCCGTCCCAAATGATATGCTTAATTCCGATTAGCTTGAAAAATGATTTCTTCCAGCTTTTTTTCATTTTGTCAGGTTTGATCGTTGGTTACCTATAACTACCTTTGAGTATCTTTGTTCAAGGCTTCGATTCTATTACCTGCTACCAGAAGTAGCGGCTCCTCAGAATTTGCTGCTAGGGGATACGTGCTGGACTTGCCCTCACTCCTCCATCCAAGGCCACTCGTAGCATCCAAAGTAACTGCATACTACCGTAATCAAAAAAGTTCATTTTTTTTATCAACACTTCACCAGTACTATGAGATCATAAAATTATTCCGTCTATGAAGTCTATAAATGGCTTTAATCGCGATATATTGGAGTGCTGCAGTATTGGATGACTTTTTAAGAATGCACAAATGTAAAATTTTTGATTTTTACTTGATTTAATTCAGCTAACCAAAGCATTTACATTTATTTCAGTTTGCAGACTGGATAAGAAGGAGTACTAGTGGAGTAATATCCGCCGTTCGCATGAAGCTATTCACCTCAAGAGGCCAGAATTATGACCAGATAATTCTAGGCCTTTGCACCTCAAAAGTGCACTTTTGCATGGTGCCCTGGTTCTTCGGGGACTTTTTGCCAACTGTCCTATAGCCCCAGTTTGCCTGATTTGGCAGGCCTTCNGCCTTCCTTTTTGCAATCTAGACCTTCAACGGCACCGTTACAGTCTTTACCGAGGCGATGGAATCAAGCTGAAGAAAGGGTAAAAAACAAAAAATTTTGGCAGAGAAAAGTAGGTGCAAAACCATACAAATCCCACAAGTCATGCTACGTTTACAGTGGATTTGAGCTTGTGCTCCATACTCACCAAAAAGTCTTGTGCCAGATCAGTAAGGGGAAAGGGAAGAGGCCAGCGTAGGCGATGAGATAGGGGGACGGGGCAGCTGGGGGTACGCGCTTGACTGGTAGTGCAGGACAAAGTGCAACCTCTCAAAACCAAAACCAGGCCTTTGATATACTCGAGGAAAACTCGAGAGTACAGGCTGCCCATACTTAAGTGGACAAGGACAGCCCTATGGGGAATGGCACAAGAAGCGGGGCGTGTGACCAATGTTTCCAGTTGTAATGCCAATGAATCCCTCCCCGGACTAATTTTCAACTACCCCATGGAGTAGGCTACATTTTCTCTGAATAAAACCTCCAACAAACCATCAAACAAAACTATTCGATACGCTAAATGGTTCTTCTCAGAGAAAAAAATGTCAAAACCACTTTCTCCTAATGAGAGATCTAGTGAGATGGGTTTCACCATGGAGTTGGCATGGTGAAATCCATCTCACTAGTTTTCTTATTGAAGAAACCTCAGCAACCGGCTAATATTTCACATTTATACGGACTGGAACTTACTAAGTTAGATTGCATAAATTACCTACAGTAATAGAAATGCGCATAAAATCGATTATCGATTCGAAAAAACCTTGCGTTCCCTGATCATAAAGTTAGTAATGCTGGTAAATGACACTACGTGAAAAAGCTTATTAGTAAAAAAAGATAATTTCAGGGTACACAGCCAACGCAAAATGCTCAGCCAAAATTATGTCTACTGAAATACTGAAAAGAAACTGCAGTTGAGTACGAGTTGAGAAAAGTGCCAAGGGCTATGACTGGTCCTGGTTGTCCCTAAGAATCTTTCACAGGGTTAAGAGTCAGAAAATAAGAGTCTACCAAAAACTGCTATGCTTTCAGTTCCAGTTCATTTCGGATTTTACTGACATGCCGGAAAGAGGGGTGGTCATGCATGAAAATGAAAGAATGTAAAAGGTGACGTCCAAAGAATGGCAAATGCTCGTCTTCGAAAAATTTCGAGGTACACCTCAGGACTACCAGGAATGGAGTACAAAATTGAGCTATTCAGCGAGTAAGAAACCCCCTGAAACGCAAGGATTTCCACCGAAGCTTCGATCATTCATATCTTCAGCTTCTTACTGTAATAATGGCAAAGCCCCTTTCGATGGTAAGCCTATGTTAGGCCTACTTTGAAGTTTTTCCAGGTTACATTTAGTATGGAAGGAGGGAATGAAGTCAAAAATCGTGGGAATTCCTAAGTCTCTGAATGCAAATCTATAAAGTGCAAACTTGCAATGCTCTATCATCCTCGGTGCGTGCTTCAACGCCTCTCTGATGATGTAATCATCATTTTGAAACATCCTCCCAATTGTTCTTTTTACCCGCAACAAGAGCCATTGCGCACGAGCCATGTTCAAGCTTGTCAAGGGGGACCGATCCCCCTTCGCCTACGACCACTGGGTAAACTGGAGAATCTGGGACTATTTCT